CCCCAAAACCCCAAAACCCCAAAACCCCAAAACCCCAAAACCCCAAAACCCCAACTAATGGTTAAAATACTGAACCACCATTCTGACCTTTTAATCCGACTTTGTTTACTACTTTTATTTCAGCTCATAGGGTGGGGTCATGAAGAAGTCTTAAAGTTCAAGGAAATGGAAGTTAGACTGTATTTTAAGTCGCAGTGCAAGTAAAGGGAGTGGAGTAACTGGTTTTTTGGGGGATTTGTGATTTAGATTGGAGAAGAGAGCTGTATAGTTTGAGGGATTACGTCCTCCTCTTTTTGCAGGGTTTAATTTGGACTTGCAGATTTTAAAAATTGGCTAAGGTCGAGACTGTGATCTTTCGATTGATCAAATGTTAAGGAAATAATTATCTTTGACTTAGATTTTTTGTAGTATACATCTTTAAAGAGTGTAAATATTTAATAAAATTTGATTTATTAGTCATCTTGAAATGTTTTCCTTCTTAACTCTATTCCTACCTTAGGACTGTCTTTAGATCTACTCAGATTTATAAACAGAGAGTTTCTTGGTCGCATTCTTTTACAAATGAGGGTATTTCTCACACCTCCTTATCAAGAGTTTAGAGTTTGGACCTGATTGAGCATTAGGGCTAGCTGCATCATCTAAACAAAGGTTAGGTAGGGTTCAAAAGTTTATCACCAATATGAAACCTTTACTTTGTTTCTAAATACTCTATGATTTATAGCTGCTAATAAGCATTCAGTTTACCTTCATCACACTCAAGTGGGTCAAATCATATAATGTTGGCTTGTCCAAAGAAGTAGTCTTCCAGGTCTTCTTCAATTAACTCCCCTCCAATAACCTGAACTTTATCTAAGAGAGGTGGCCTTTTCTCTAAGCTTTTAATGAACTTAACATGGCTCTTTTGCCCGAGATTTAGTTTGAGAAAAGTTTTCTTTGTGATCGGGTTCATCATGATATTTTCACCTGTGATCAGGCTGAATAAAGTTCTGAACTCTTTCCATGTGTAATAGCTAAATTGAAGTTATTTTCTGGATAAATGTGGTCAAACATTTCATACAAGTATTTGGCTTATTGGCCAAGGAAAAAACTTTACCTGGGTTTCCAACTTTTTCCACTAATTGTGCTAGTCCTTACATCCATGATGTATAAGTCTTCTTGGTGTTGAAGTACTTCAGCACTCTCTACTTTGCCTTCTTCCTCAATGGAACTATGCTCATTATTGAGCTCCTTGATTTTGTTACTGTAGAAAATATCCAGCTCCTCAATTTGTCCTTGGCAAGCTTCTTCGAGGTTCTTTAATTTTTCTTCGTAAGCTTGCTTTTGTTGCAGAAGCTTATCTTGTTGTTGGGAGACTTTGAAAGTTTCGATTAGAAGAGCTTCCTCTAGTTCTTCAATCCTCTTGAGATAATTATTAGAGTTTGTGTTTAATAGCAAAATCGATGACTGATAATCTTCCATTTTCTGTTCATTCTTCCGTTCTATTCTGTATCTTTGAGCTTTTAGCTGGTCAAAGGTCCGTAAAAGCATTTCCTTCCAGTCACAATGTCTCTAAAGAATATTAAAGATAAATAAAAGTGGATTTGTACATCCAAAGCTAGATATTCAGAAGTAAATTTATCCTTTTCGCCAGAAATAATTGTACTTACGTCTTGAGCAAGCTGAGGTAGTGATTCATCGCCCTCTCCTTGGTTTGCAGGGGTAAAATAGCTTAATGTTTTAGCTGTAGAGAATTTTATAAAGAGGCCATCGTTTTTAAGAATCTCTTCTACTTTTTTAGCTTTAAATAAGAATTTGTTGAATTTGTGAATTTGTTTATTTCCGAATTGCTTTTTCTAGGTTGTGATAGATGGGCTGAATTAGCTCCTTGATTTCATGGTCGAATCTGTCGTACTCAGCTTCAGGTTCATCAAGTCCTAAGCTCTGAGATGTGTTCATGATAGCTTTCCTTCATTGATTAATCGTTTTTAGTTTTCAAAAGACGGCATCTGAAGGGATTAGAGGGCAAATTATGTCGTCTGAGTTGTTGTCATCTAAGCGTACGAAATATGCAGGGTCTCAATGCTGAGTACAAACATAGTTCTTCTCTTGAGTCAGATAGTAGCTTGCATTTTGGCTTCATAGATCAGTCGCACAAACTTTAAGCATCGTTTATTTGAGCTGAATAAAATTTATTTAAGAACTATTATCTCTATAGAAGCCAGAAACCTGGGGTTTTGGGGTTTTGGGGTTTTGGGGTTTTGGGGTTTTGGGGTTTTGGGG